CCATGATGACCCAGAATCCTATTTTTATGTGAAACGTCTTTTTTTGCTTTAGTTTTGGCAGTAACTCGGCGCCTTGAACTTGTCAACTAGTCTAACATCTGAACCATTCCTCCAGCTAAATTTCTAGTTTTCTATCATTGGTACCAATATTATTATTTGTTTTTAATATCATCCATGACAAAAAAAAACTCCTGCAGGCTACATCTGACCATCTGACTTCTCTTTTCTCCTTTATACCTAACATATACTGGAAGTTATAACCTAAAACGTTTTTGAGCGGGAAATATAATCTAAACCTTTAAAAGAAACATAAAATCAAATCTCTCTGAAGTAATGTCACATCTATAAAATGACTTCTTAAAGTTACCCTTAGTTCTAATCTTTGAATGTATTAAAACACAACTATGAAAACACAAGGCCTGAACCCTGGGCCTAGGCACTGTCCCTCAGCAATTCAGCTCAAGGCTAGTGCTTTACCACTTGAGCCACAGCACCACTTCTGGCTTTTACTGCTTATGTGGTACTGAGGAATCGAACCCAGGGCCTCATGCATACAAGGCAGGCACTCTACCACTGAGCCACCTTCTTAGTCCCCAGACTATAACATCTTAAGAAAATAAACAGACCTCATGCATTGGTTAACATTAAAAGAAATACTTGAAAATTATCAGCACAATCAAGTTTCTACAGACATATAGACAAACATGAAATATATATGTGACAAAAGAATGAAGGATGGCTGGGAAGGTGGCTCAGCAGTAGAGTGCTTGCCTCACCTTCATGAGGCCCTGGGTTCAATTCCTCAGCACCACATAAACAGGAAATGCCAGAAGTGGCACTGTGGCTCAAGTAGTAGAGGGCTAGCTAGCCTTGAGCTGAAGAGCTCAGGGACAGTGCCCAGGCCTAGAATTCAAGCCCCATGACAAAAAAAAAAAAAAAAAAAAAAGAAGGAAAGGGGAAAGAAGAACATATATAGCTGGGTGCCAGAGGCCCATGCCTGTAATCCTAGCTATTCAGGAGGCTGAGATCTGAAGATTGTGGTTTAAAACTATCCAGGAAGGACAATTCGTAAGATTCTTATCTCCGATTAAAAGATCAAAAATAGCTGGAAACAGAACTGTGGCTCAAGTAGTAGACAGAGCCTTGAGGACAAAAGCTCAGGGAGAGCACCCAGGCCCTGAGTTTAAGCCCTAGGACCAGCACAAAAACAAATGAAAAAACAAAACATAACCAAAAAAAAAAAAAAAAAAAAGATACAGAAACTTAAACAATCATGGTAGTATGTTTAAAGCAAAACAAAAAAACAACAACACAACAAGGGGGGGGTACCAGTAGCACCAGTGGTGCACGCCTGTAATTCTAGCTACTTGGGAAGCTGCAATCTGAGGATCATGATTCAAAGCCAGTTGGGGCAGGAAATTCTGTGAGACTCTTATCTCCAATTAATCACCAAAATGTTGGAAGTAGAGCGGTGGCTTAAGCGGTAGAGCTCTAGCCTTGGTCAAAAAAGCTTAAGTACACACACACACACACACACACACACACACACACACACACGCACGCACGCACGCACGCACGCACGCACGCACGCACGCACGCACGCACGCACACACAGCTTAAGGACAGTGCCTAGGCCCTGAGTGCAAGGTCCAGGACCAGCACTAAAAACAAACAAACAAAAATACAACAAATGTTAACATACCTCAACACTAAGGATTTCAAACTTTTCTTTTTTAGACTTGCTGCTTTCTCGCTTTTCAATTTTCAACCTTTTTGTTTTTGTTTTCTCTTTCTGTATCTTTTTCCTTTTGGTGGATTCTTCTTCGGTGGAAATCTAAAAGGGGAAAAAACATCCATGAAGATTCAAAAGAAAGAGAAACAGCAATTTTAGCTTTCCTTTTGTTACTCTTACCCCACCTCACTTTCAACTGCTTTTTTAATTCCTACTATGATCCCAGTTCTCCCATTCAGCCAACAATGTTGCCTTTGCCCAAAGTCTGTGAAATTTTCTTCATGTTCCCTATGTTTTCTCTCTGCTGGCTTCCTCCTTGGACTGGTTTGAACATCTGAATTCCCTAGCTTGAGAAGCAATGTGGATGTTTTATACATGAAAATGGTTTTAAGTAAATATACAGCCTTCCTCATCTTGGTTCCTCATCATGGAATTGCAATCTCTACTTCATAGTATACTTGGAAATCCTAAGACCATATATTCAAATATTAGTTCCCTGCCTATTCTAAGTGAGACTAAAAACTGTAATGCAAATTCTGACCATTTTATGAGGCAAAGACCCCATTTAAAAATGCAATGATTTAAGGTTCGGCTGGAAGCCTGTAAATCTAGCTACTCAGGAGAATGAGATCTGAGAATCAAAGTTCAAAGCCAACTAGAGGAGGAGAAAAACCGAAGACTATTATCTCCAATTAACTACCAAAAAAACCAGAAGTAGAGCTATGGCTCATGTGGTAGAGTATTAGCCTCAAGCAAAAAAATTCAGGGACAACTCCCAGGCCCTGAGTTCAAGACCCAGGACAGAAACAGACACACAGCCAGACACAGAGACAGACAGCGACTGACAGAGACAGAGACAGAGACAGAGACAGACAGACAGACAGACAGACAGAGAGACACACATACACACACACACACACACACACACAGAGTGATCAAACACTTTTTTCTCCATCCTTAATCAAATGGCACAAAATTACTATGGAAAAGATACAAACTCAAATAAAATGAATTTCCTGGGCTGGGAAGGTGGCTCAGTGGTAGAGCGCTTGCCTTGCATGCATGAGGCCCTGGGTTCAATTCCTCAGCACCACATAAGCAAAAAAGAAAAAGCCGGGAGTGGCGCTGTGGCTCAAGTGGTACAGCTGAAGAGCTGAGGAGCAGGGCCCAGGCCCAGAGTTCAAGCTCCCCAACTAGACCCAAAATAAATAAATAAATAAAATCTTCAAAAAAAAATAATAAAATAAATGAATTTCCTCAAAGACAAGGCCTTGAAATGGTATAAACTCTCTAATAAGTTCAATTTACAGAAGCAGATTTTAACAAAAAACAAATATGGAAAATAATGTAAGTCTCAACAGGCTCACTAAAGAAGCATATCACTTACATCAAATAAGTTGTCTTGTTCAACTGACTGCTGGAAAGATTTCTCTGGTTTGTGGGTTTTCCTTGTACCCCCTCGGGGGAAACTTTCTTCTAGGGTTGCCATGTTTGTTCTCCTAAAAAATAATCAAAAATAATAATGGGTAAATGCAGCATGAGGAGCAGGCTTCATAAAGGCTGTGACCACTAGGTAAGACAATTTTCTACCAAGAAGCTAGACAAGATACAGAACTATCACCTGGATAGTTCAGATGTCAGGTCCCTGTTAATCCATTTTTCATCTTTCCAAAGGGGTCTGATTCAAAATTACAAACCTTCCTCCAGGAAAAACAATGTACGAAATACTCATTAAGCAAAGTCTTTACATCAGAAATATATTAATGAATATATAAACCGTTACTTTCAACTGAACATTTTAGAAGGGAAATCAACTACATAAAAAAAAAAAAAAATATATATATATATATATATATATACATATATACCAGAGTATAAACCATAAACAAAAAGGAAGTGAGTTTCAAAAGGAAGATGCTTTGGAATTGAATGTTAAGTTGGATAGATATAAAAACAATGTGCTGAACAGTAATGTTAAAAAAAAAAGGAAAAGTCTATTATTTCAATAACCAATAACATACTTATTGAACAATTACTCAAAGACTTAACTTTGAAGAATTATTCTTTCTTTGAAGAATTAGTCAACTAAACCACACAGAGATTAAAACATAATTGGAGGTTAATTTTAAAAGACAGGTTGGGCTTTATGTGGAAGATATTAAATTACAATAAAATAGTTTATCTTGCAAATCAAAGACTTGCATAAGGGAAGTGACAGAACATTAACTGGAAAAATACTGTAATCTCAGCGACCCAGAAAGTGGAGAATGGGAGGCTTTTGGTTTGTGACCAGCTCTAACAGCCTAACAATCCTAACAACACCCACCCCCATTCCCCCCCCCAAAAAAAAATCTCAGCAAACAAGCGTGGCATGCTGGCCAAGCTTTTAAGGAAGCTGGAAGTAGGAATATCACAGTGCCAGGACAGCCTAGGCAAAAACCACAAGACCTTACTTGAAAATTAAAGCAATAAAATGGATGTGGACGTGGCTCTGAGTTCAAACTTCAGTAAAGAAAATGGAAAGAAAGCTATACTACTTCAGGCTGTAGATTTCAACAGGAAAAGAAGACTGCAGGGAAGCAAATCAGGAAGGATCCAAATGAAATACAGCGGGGAAATCATGAGAACCAGAACTAGGTATAAATGAGGACGGAAGACAGGTGTTGGTTCTGAGAGATGCTTTGTGAATAAGAATCTAGGAGAGTTTGAGACTGGAGAAGAGGTGACAACTGAGAGGGAATTTAGGATTTCGCATCAAGTATGGGAAAGGGCGTGTTTCACAGAAACAGGAAAGTTTAAGTGCAAGGGGTCCAGCGTGTGGGAGTCCAACCCCTTTCGGACCAGAGAAAACCGAGGTTCCAAAGGTCACGGCGATCAGGGGCAGGGGATTGAGACTTCTTCCCAAGGAAAGAATAGGACCCACTCCGATCGGAAGATGCCTGGGCAGGGGGGCCAGGGGACCTGGCTCCGGAACAGACCTAAGAGCAAAAAAGGGTTACTGACGTCTTGTTTGCGTCTCCTCACTCACCCGTACCAGGACGCAGGCGCCTCACTAGCCCAGACCGCAGGCTGAATCTTCTCACACGCGGAATTAAGACCCGTGCACCTACCGCTCCATGCTGCTCTTCCGGAAGTTGGGGCGGGCTTAACGTTACTTCCGTTCTCTATCGGCCGGCTCCAGTGGCTACCGGAAGCGGAAGGGCGGGACTTAGCGCTCTATCTAATCAGCTCAAGAGACCCAGTCTTTGGGTCCGTTGGGTGCGAGAGGCGGGGACAGGCGGACTCTTTCCGGTTAGGCTAAGTCGGTGTCTTCGTTGTTTGAAGGACGTCGGCCGTCGAATTTGTGACTTTGGCAAAGGTAAGTGCAGAGGGGCTCTCGGGCTCAGACCTTGCGCCTTGGCTTTGAGGAGCAGATTTGATATTCTGACGGTTTCAGATCCGGTAAACACCGCGAGATCTTCCCTGGGCATGGGGACATGATGGGATCGGTGAGGGACCGGAGAGGCAGGGAAAATGAGGGTCGGGCCAGAGGACGCGCTCAGCCGCCGAGCGACCTCAGGCCCCCGAACTCGCCAGGCTCCCGAAGCCCTTTAGATTATATTTTGCAGTGGAGAGAGAGACAGAGAAAAACAGAGACAGACTCGCCACGAATAGAGTTCCCCAAGGTCACTCAGTGACCGAATGTTGGACTAGAACTCGGGCTTTCGACCCCATCGCTGGCCGGGAGTGCCTCCTTTGGTGTGAATGGCGAATGGCCCGGGTGGCTGGCTTCCACGACGAGGAAGATGGCAGCCTTTAAGCAGGCCTCAGCCATGGTCCATCGTCCAAGTGAGAGTGACGCGAGATTCGGCCGCTGACGGCGCACGGTCCTTAGGTTCGATTTCAGTCTGTAGGTGATCCTCGGGAAGAAAGGCTTTTTTCCTTGGAGAAATCCAGAATTGTCTGGATATATTTTTGGCTGTAAATGTTTGTCATGCTAGAGATTGTTCCTGGTCCCCGAGCGCTTCTCTTTGCCTTTTACCTTTACCTAGTGATCTTACTGTCCCGGGTAGATAGATGTTCAATGAGACGGGACAACAGTGACAGAAGACCTAGCAAGTGCAACTGGCCACCATTGGCCTTTAATGAAACGCCTATTTCACAGGCAGACAAGGGCATGTGGTTGTATTTAATAATGGTTAACGGCTTAGAAACTGGCACTTAATTAGCGGCCAAACTGATATATAACTATATTTCACTAACCTGTGAGGCTGAAGTTGAAGGATCGCTAATTGAATACTATACCAGGCTCTGTCTCCAAAAAATAAAGACAAAAACATACAAAAAAAAAAAAGGAATCCCTATCTATTTTCTAGCAGTTTGTTACTTAACATTAATTCACAAGTTGACAAGTATGAATCTTAGGTGATTTTTCTCCTTAATATGTCTTAAGAAAACCAAATTATAGGGCTGGGAAGGTGGCTCAGTAGTAGAGTGCTTTCCTTGCACGCATGAGGCGCTAGGTTCGATTCCTCAGCACCACATAAGCAGCAAAACCCAGAAGTGGTGCTGTGGCCCAAGTGGTAGAGCGCTAGTCTTGAGCTGAAGAGCTGAGGGACAGTGACCAGGCCCAGAGTTCAGGCCCCATGACCGACCAAAAAAACAATAAATTAGGGGCTGGGAAGGTGGCTCAGTGATAGAGTGCTTGCCTTGCATGCATGAGGCCCTGGGTTCGATTCCTCAGCACCACATAAGCAAAAAGAAAAAAGCCAGAAGTGGCGCTGTGCCTCAAGTGGTAGAGTGCTAGCCTTGAGCTGAAGAGCTGAGGGACAGCGCCCAGGCCCAGAGTTCAGGCCCCACGACTGGACCCAAAAAAAAAAAAAAAAATTATAATTCGCTGATCCTCAGGGCATTGGTAGCACAAACTGTTGTGATCTTAGTCCTGATCTTTGTTGAAGGGTTCAGGCTAAGATTTCAGCTTTCACTGTTGTTTTATTATCCCACCTCACTGTTTTTATTATTAGAAACATCCCACTCCTTGCCATCCCAGCCTCTCGTGAGTCCTTTAAGACCCCCACTAAAATTCAATTTTGTACCACGTCCTTTTCTAAAGAATTGGTAATCTGTGGAATATTGCAAACATCAGCCTGCAGTATTATGTTCACTAGAGTAAATTTTAAAATAATCTCCTAAAGTTTAGGAGCTGGATGAACTGACAAAGTTAAGGTTGATGAATTCTAAAATTGAAGCCTTATTTGTTGTTGAAGCCTGGTTTCCTTATTAAAGCATCATGAAATGAGTAAAAAAATATATAACTTTAGTATGTTTAGTAAGATGAATTAGTAAGACAGAAAATTTACATCATAAAAGTTTCTCTGTATGGTGTGTGTGTGTGTCCGTCCGTCCGTCCATCCATCCATCCATCCATCCTTGTGCCCATCCATCTCTCTCCTAGGGTTTGAACCCAGGACATACATACATCTGTCCTAGTGTTTGAACCCAGGACCTAGGCACTGTCTCTGAGCTCTTTTGCTCAAGGCTGGCACTCTACCACTTGAGCAACAGCTTACTTCCAACCTTTTGGAAGCTAATTGGCGATGAGTCGCATGGACTTTGCTGCCTAGGTTGGCAGGATAGGTTAGCTGATCCTCAGCTTCCTGAATAGCTAGGATTACAGGTGTGAGCCACCAGCATCCAGCATAAAGGTTTCATTTAATGGAGATTGTGCTACTTTGGCTAGATTGCCCAGTAGTTATGAAGGGTCCTAAGGAAGTTTAGATTTTCTTTATTGTTCCAAGAGCCTTTTTGAAAGTATCCAAAAAAAATAAGTTCTCAATTTTTATTGTCAAATCTTCCCACATGACAAGCCTCTGAAGACCGTTGAATAATGAACAGGGGAGTAATAGTTTCCGTTGCAATGACTTCCCTTTCTGTTCTCTCCCTCTTCCATTTCCTCAAGACTTTCCTGGGAAGTCCACCAGACCTCACCCAGCTCTTGTAAGTTACCAATCAAATAGGTATGTTATTGTAGACAGGTGGTCACACCTACACATTTTCAACTGTTCTGGTGTATTTTTTGAAGATGTGTCCCCTAGGTTTTTGGGGGGTTTTTTTTGTGCACCAGTCCTGGGGCTTGAACTCAGGGTCTGGGAACTGTCCCTGAGCTTCTTTGGCTCAAGGCTAGCACTCTTAACACTTGAGCCACAGCTCCACTTCCAGCTTTTTCTGTTTATGTGGTACTGAGGAATCAAACCCAGGGCTTCATGGATGCTAGGCAAGCACTCTACCACTAAGCCACATTCCCAGCCCTGTCCACAATTTTTTTTTTTCCTCCTTTTGGTGGTACTACAGTTTGAACCTAGGGACTTGTGCTCACAAAGGCATATAATCATTAGAACCATGTCCCAATATCCCAGCCCTTTTATTTTTTATTTTTTTCGTAACATCAATTAGTTGTATCAGGGGCTTTCATTTTAACATGTCTTTTTTTTTTTGTCGGTCATGGGGCCTGAACTCGGCTTGGGCACCATCCCTCAGCTCTCCAGCTGTAGACTAGCGCTCTACCACTTGAGCCTCAGCCCCACTTCTGGCTTTTTCTGCTTATGTGGTGCTGAGGAATCGAACCTAGGGCCTCATGTGTGCAAGGCAAGCACTCTACCACTGAGCCACCTTCCCAGCCCCAACATGTCCATTTTTTTTTGGGGGGGGGGGGTCCGGTCGTGGGGCCTGAACTCTGGGCCTGGGCGCTGTCCCTCAGCTCTTCAGCTCAAGGCTAGCTCTCTACCCCTTGAGCCACAGCGCCACTTCCGGCTTTTTTCTTTTTTGCTTATGTGGTGCTGAGGAATCGAACCCAGGGCCTCAGGCATGCAAGGCAAGCGCTCTACCACTGAGCCCCCTTCCCAGCCCAACATGTCCATTTTTTAATACAGTGTATCTTCTTGGTCAGAGTTGCTCTGTCATCCTTTTCCCTTTCATTATTTTAATAGGGTATTGCCTTTATGCATAGCACAGCCTGTACCTTGATCATCCTATTTGTATTTCCTACTCAGAATGACAGGCACATTCTGTCATGTTCAGCTTTTTGTTGTTGTTGAAATGAGGCCTTGAGAACTTTTTACCCAGGCTGGCCTTGAACTTTGATCCTCCTGATTTCTGTCTTCTGGGTAGCTTGGATTAGTGAGCTATAACACCTGGCCTGTTATCACTTAGAAAAATGAAATACATGTCTTTATAAAGTACACAAACAATTTGGGGGGGGGGGGGAGGGCGTCAGTCGTGGGGCCTGAACTCGGCCTGGGCGCTGTCTCTAAGCTCTTCAGCTATAGACTAGCACTCTTACCACTTGAGCCTCAGCCCCACTTCCGGCTTTTTCTGCTTATGTGGTGCTGAGGAATCGAACCTAGGGCCTTATGCATGCAAGACAAGCACTCTACCACTGAGCCACCTTCCCAGCCCTATATTGCAATTAGTCTTTTTTCTTCTCAACTTTAGTGTGCATTGAATGTAGCTATAGATAGCTGGGTCCCAGAGTTTCTAAATCAGTAGGCCTATGGTAAGGTCTGAGAAGTTGCATTTCTATCAAGTTTCTGGTGAAGCTGGTGCTGCTGGTCTAAGGGTCAGATTTTGAGAACGATTGATGTGCTCTACATAGTCCAGAAATGGGATTTTTTTAAACATTTAGCATTACTTGGAAACTGATCTCTTTCCATCATGTTATGCAAAGATCTTTGCATATTTTATTTCCCTTATTGGAAATCACTGCTTATCAGTCTTGATAATGGGCATTTATTTTTCCAGTTTTTACCTTTCATGAACAGTATTTCAGTGACTTTGTGTGAATCAGATAATATATTTCCTTTTTTTTTTTTTTTTTTTTGTCGGTCATGGGGCTTCATCTCAAGGCGAGCGCTCTACTGCTTGAGCCACAGCGCCACTTCCAGTTTTCTAGTGGTTTATTGTAGATAAGAGTCTCACAGACTTTTCTTGCCCAGGCTGGCTTTGAACCATGATCCTCAGATCTCAGCCTCCTCAGTAGCTAGGATTATAGGCGTGAGCCACCGGGGCCGGCAGGCTCAGATAATATATTTCTACCTTGTGATTCTCCTGGAGAAAAGAACCAGCTAGGTGGAAGAGTATACTATATAATTTTCTAGATACTTTAGGAAGGCTTACCAGTTTACACTCCAAGTAATAGAGAGAGAATTCTAAGTCCTAAGTTAATAACATTGCTTGTTAACAATTTAATTGTGCCAGTTTGATAGTTAAATATCAGTCCATTTTATATTACATTCTTCTATTTTGTTACACAAGGAGTAATAATTCCAGATTCCGTACCACCAATCGCTTTTGTCAACTCCCTTTAATAAATGATCCTTCTCCCCTCTTCCACGGAAATCTTAAGTGATTTATGATAAGAAAAATTATTTAAAGTAGCATTTTTAAGTCATTGTTTAGATGGTGGTCATTTTCCTGAGATTATGGTTTGAGAAACATCACAAATTCCGACTTTGAAGTAGTCTGGAAAGTTAACTCAGTGTGGATAGTCAGAAATAAAAATATTAAGGTATACCACAGTCTAGATAATTGGCTTTTGACTCTTGTTCTCATCATATGCTGAATGATTTGATCTTTCCTGGAAAGTCTGAAATAGTAACCAGGGTAAAATTCTACTTCCAAAAATTCCTCGTAACAAGGCTCTTCTACCATCTTTTTACAATGTAGTTAAAAACCGTAAAGTTGGGCTGAGAATGTGGTTTAGTGGTAGTGTTTACCTAGCATGCATGAAGCCCTGGGTTCTATCCTCAGTACCACATAAACAGAAAAAGCCAGAAGTAGCACTGTGGCTCACGTGGTAGAGCACTAGCCTTGAGCACAAAGAGGTTCAGGGACAGTGCCCAGGCCTTGAGTTTAAGCTCCAGGACCAGAAAAGGAAAAAAAAAAAAAAATATATATATATATATATATATATATATATATACATATATATACATATATATATACACATATATATATACATACACATACACACACACATATGTATATGGTTATAGTGAGTTTTTACTTTTTAAACTAAAATTTTTTTTAAAAAAAAAAACTTTTTCTTTTTCACCCAAACCAATTTATTGCTTGCTTTTTTCCTTTTAAGATTGACATCATGGCAGGCGCAGAAAATGAAGGCCAATTCCAGTTCACTGGTATTAAGAAGTATTTCAACTCATACACTCTCACGGGTAGAATGAATGTAAGTATTATATGTATATATATGGTATGAGGAATGGAACCCAGAGCTTCATGCATGCTAGGCAAGCACTCTACCACTAAGCCACCTTCCCAGCCCTAAGCAGTTATGTGTTAAAATATAGATGTAATGATGATTCTCCTTTTCTCCCCTACCCCCACTCCACAGTGTGTACTGGCCACATATGGAGGCATTGCTTTGCTGGTCTTATACTTTAAGTTAAGGTCTAAGAAGACTCCAGCTGTGAAAGCAACATAAATGGTAAGGAATTTAAGTTTTTAATCATTTTAATATTAGTTTTTCTTCCCAATAGTTTACTATAAAAAGTAAATGCAAGCATTGGGTGCAGGAGCACACACCTATGTAATCCTAGCTTTTAGGAGGTAGAGATGGGAGGATTGTAGTTTTAAATAAGAGCTAACTTGTGAATTTCTGTGAACATTTCGTGTGTGTGTGTGTGTGTGTGTGTGTGTGGTGTGTATCTCAGTGTCTCGTTCCTGGGACTTGAACTTGGCACAGAGGTGCTGTCCTTGAGCTTTTTGGTTCAAGTATAGTCTACCTCTTGAGCCACAGCTCCACTTCCAGATTTTTGGGGGTAGGGTTAATTGGAGATGAGTTTCAGGGACTTTCTGCTCACATTTGGCTTCAGATCAACCTCCTGAGTAGCTAGGATTACAGATATGAGCCACTAGCACCCAGCTGATCAAACTTTTTTAAAATGTGGTTGGTTTCCAGTGGTTTTGATGATTGTAATTTCATAAGTATTTTTCTAATGATTGGACTTTTGCTGTTCATAGATAGGTGGACTATTTCATAGGAGTAATCTGTCTCATAAGTTCTGTAGCAAAAGCTTTAAAGCATGAAGTATCTATATGAATGTTTCCTTAGGTTAAGATGCTTTCCCAAAGGATTATGAAACAACAATAAGCTTTAGCTTTTGCCAATACGGAGTATCAGTTTCTTGGATATATGAATAAAAGATAGGTCTTGTGCTTTTTTTCTTTTACCATTTATTTCTGTAGTGTGGTTTTTACAGTACTGGGGTTTAAACTTGGGACTATAACAGTACACTTGTGTGCGTGCATGTGCTCGCGTGTGCATGGACACACTTTCAGATAAGGTCTTGCAATTTTTGCCAGGGTCAGCCTGGGACCCATGATATTCCTACCTATGCCTTCTATAGCTGGGATGAGGGCTGAGCAACTGGACCCAACATGATGTACATGTTTAACAACTGGGTGGCTGGCTGGAGGGGAGATATGCAGATGCATATTAGGCAAGCTAGGCTCTGAAACAGAACTATACCCTAGCCCCAACCATTATATGCATCTGCAAGTAACTTGTTATTTATAGTTTCAGGCTTCCTTTATATATGTGTATGTGTGTTTTGTTTTTGTCATTGGTTGTGGGGCTTAAACTCTGGGCTTGGGCACTTGCTGTCCCTGTGCTCTTCAGCTCAAGACGAGCACTCTACTGCTTAAGCTACAATGCCATTTCTGGTTTTCTAGTGGTTTATTGGAGATGAGTCTCATGGACTTTCCTGCCTGGGCTGGCTTTGAACCATGATCCTCAGATCTCAGCCTCCTGAGTAGCTAGGATTATTCCCACCTTGGGCTCTTTTTAGCTACCTATCCTTAAGTAAACATCTTTGGTGTTGACAATAAACAACCATAATCCCCAAATCTACATTTTCAGCTAAAAGTTTTTCAGAAAATTTCCAACATATCAGCCCAAAGGGACTACATATCCCAAAATGCAGTGGTCTGAAGCCTGTTCCTGACAAAACAGGCAGTATTTTCCAAATCTCCATGTAACTTTTAACTTTGAGGAGGTAGCATCTCCACAAAAATGGGAAGCTGTATTCAGATATTAAATTTTAAAATGTGTGTTTTTCTTTAAATGTTACTTTCTATAGTAGTTTTTCCAGGAGTTTGCCTTTAGGCATATACCAAATTGTTTAGCAATTTCTTTGTTAAAGGTAAAATATTACACTGAAACATACCAATTATGAGAGAAGTCTTGATTTTTTTTCCTTATTGACTTTTTGAGAATATTATGAGTTTATGTTCTGTTTCTGAAGGGCTCATGATTAGTACTGTCATAGTATTTAACGAATATCTTAAAAGTAGAACTGAACACATTTGTGTCAAACTGTTTTTGCTTTGTTTATAGGATTCTAAATTTTCTGAGCTCATCTGTTAAATTCCCAAGCCTGGAGAAGCTAATGTCAACTCATCATGTAATATTCAATTTGTACAATAAATTATGAACCTGGAAAAAGCTGGTTGTCTTTATTTACAAGATATCAAAAATATAAAAACTGTACAAAATGCAACAAAGGCAAAAACTGGCAGTGACTTGGTCTAAATCTTAGTTTTCCAAAGCAAGGCTCAGTACTGGAGGTAAGCAACTGAAATGTCCGTCTGACTTCAAGTGTACTAGGTTGTATGTATTTTAGCTGAAGTAGAATATGGAAGCTAAACTTCTTCACCACGTTTATAGTGTTTAGTGCACTCAAATAGTTTAAATTGAGATGTCAGTGGATGGTTGTACTTCTCTAGATCTTGAGAAGGAATTGTTCTCTGTACTCATTTACATATATTCCACTAATTATAGGTCAAGAAAAACATGTTAGTGGATCATTTAACATAGTACTTGAGTGCATACAGTAACTTCATTTTACAGCAGAAAATACACATGCTCGTAGAAGTCTTCAGCTAAAATTCAAGATGGTATTTCTTAATTTGAATCTTGAAGCAGGATGAATTTCCTCAAACTTCTTTTTTCTAAACATAATAAATTAAAATAGCATTTGAACAGAAAATGCATAGTTTCCACACAATCCGAAGCACCATAATGTCTCTTCCACGAACGTAATACCTCTTATTCAACTAACGGAAATTAGTTAAATGTGGTTGCTATAAAAACGTGGAACTATCCTGTTCAGATTTTCAAAGCAGCATACTTCAAGATCCATATAGACAACATTCTTTGTAGCTTAAATATTAAACACTGAGGTATTTGCTTTTAGTCTCCCTTTTTCAAACAGTAGCTTCCAAAAGGTCTTTAATACCGTTGATTTATTGCGGACTATAAGCTCCTGCAGCCAGAACCAAGTTTCTTCGAGTAAAATGGAGGTGTACAACTGGTGTTGATTTGGTCATATATGTACCCAATAATAACTCCTGTGAATTCTCAGGTAAATTTATATGGCCAGTGGCTGTAGTAAAGTCATCAGTCTCTAAATCTTCAAATGCTTTTATGGCATCCCATAACCGGACCGTATTATCCATTGAACCTAGGAAGAAGGCAAAGGAAACCTTTTTGTTTGTCAGTCCTAGGGTGAACTCAGGGCTTGGGCTGTCCCTGAGCTGCTTTCACTCAAGGCTAGCAGTCTACCATTTGAGGAACAGTGCCACTTTTGGCTTTTTCTGCTTATGTGGTACTGAGGAATAGAACCCAGTGCTTTGTGCATACTAGGCAAGCACTCTACCACTAAGCCACATTCCCAGCCCCTATGTATTTATAGTTCATGCTAAAAAAAAAAAAAAAATGTAAACCTTTATCCCAAAGCCATTAATCATTTACCTGAGGCCAAAATTTCACCATCTCTACTAAATCTAAGTGAACAGACTGTATCAGTATGGCCTTTTAATTCTCCAACCATCAAACCATGTCCAATATCCCAAAGGAGTACTCTGCCATCTGTTGCTCCTGTAGCCAGGAATCTCCCATTGGGAGAAAATGTCAAGGAATGAATTGGTCCCTAGGAAAGAAAAGATCAAACTAGAGTTAAGTATATCCAAAGACCTAAAGCACAATTTTAATGTTATGAATATTATCTTTAAAATTATTTATCTTTGGTTAAAAGATATTTTTGGTCCAGGCACAAGTGGCTTACACCTGTAAACCTAGCTACTCGTCTAGATGAAACTTGAGGTTCTAGATTTGAAGCCAGCCCAGGTAGGAAAGTACATGAGACAGATTTCTAATTAACCAACAACAACCAGAAATGGAGCTATTGCTCCAAGTGGTAGATTGCCAGCCTGGAGTAAAAAAGCTAAGGGACAGTGTTAGGCCCTGAGTTCAAGCTCCAGTACTGACACACACACAAAATGTTTGGAATTGTAAGTATGGCTCAAGTGGTAGAGTGCCTGCCTAGAAATCACAAGGCCCTGAGTTCAAGCCCAGAAAAAAAGAGGCATGTCTGTCAATCTTCCCATTGAGAGTTGGAGACCTATCCTTCAAGCAATGATTAATATTAATATCTAAAAGGTTCTTAGACATTAATCACTTGGAACCAATAAGACAGGAAGAAGTAAGGTTGAGTGACCTCCAATGCTAGGCAGTAGGCAAAGAAAACTTCTATTTCTAGCCAGGCTATAAAACTATCGTGGACATCCCTCTACACAAACAACAAAAGACCATTTTTATCTTGAAAAGTGCTGGAATAATAAAGGTAAAATACCTTGTGTCCAGTGAAGATCCTTACACAGTTACCATTCAAAACATCCCAGAGCCTCACAGTTCTGTCTGCAGAGCCCGTAGCCACATAATTTGAATTGGGATGGAATCTTGTACAATTCACATCAGCAAGATGGCCAGCAAATATCCTTAAAGGCTGATAGTGGTCTGTGGCCCAGAGTCTTTTAAAGTTATAAAAGCAAGAAATCACAGTTAGTAGAATAATATTTCACCATAGTTTTGGCTATTTCCTAATTAGTTTCTAACCTGTGCTACCTCATCTGGAACTTTCAAGGAAATGACAGAGACAAAGGTATTCACAATCGTAGTGGCAAAAAAAGAATATCTGACAGGAGGAGCATATAAAATAGCCCCCCCCCCAAAAAAAATAAAAATAAAATAAATAAATAAATAAAATAGCCAAAAGCAGTGCTTTTGCTAAAGACATGATTGCAGATACAATAACTCCTGTCCTAAATTCATTTTCAAACAAAAGCTACAAATACTGATATTTTGAATAAGTTGAAGTAGAAATGAACAGACCCAATCAAAAGATTAAACTGATATCTTACCGAGCAACTCGGTCATGGCCCCCTGAAACAAAATAATATCCATATGGAGAAAACTGTGTGTCCCATACTGGGTAGTTGTGTCCTTTATATCCCACCAAGCAAGTAAATGTTTGAAGGCTCCATAATCTAACAGTTCCATCCTCTGAAGAGGAAAGCAGGTAATTCCTGAGAAGAGAATTTGATAAAATTGATTTCCCAGAATTAACTTTAGACTACTTTCAAGTTTCTTCTTATATTTGAATTTTTTAAATATAGCTAACTAATGCTACATCTCACTTGTAATTTATAGACAGAACCCACAATAGATGCAAAGCTAAACAAATGTTAAAACTAAATGTTGCTGGGTGCCAGTGTCTCATGCCTGTAATCCTAGCTACTCAGAAGGCTGATACTTGAGGATCTCAGTTCAAAGCCAGCACAGGCAAGGAAAGTCTATGAGACCTTTATCTCCAATAAACCACCAGAAAACCAGAAGCAGTGCTGTGGCTCAAGTGGTAGAGTGCTAGCCTTGAACTGAAGAGCTGAGGGACAGCACCCAGGTCCAGAGTTCAAGCCCCACAACGGGCCAAAAAAATTAAAAAATTAAAAAAGGTGAATGTTAGCCTTGACAATAAGTATATTCTGACCACCTAATGATGTTAGATTTTATATGTATGTATGTACATGTGAATATATGAATGTGTATATGCATTTTAAGATAAATTGAGACAATCTACAAAATGTGATAACCTCACTTAATTTTTGACTATAAAATGGAGATGCTATTTTCCAATCTTGTATGAGTTGTAAAAAGGAGAGGATTGGGGAGTGTCGCAGTAATAGTCCTAACTTAGCTCATGCTTAAGGCACTATAGATTCAACCCCCAGCACAAAAGAATGAAAATAACTACAAACATGTTGCTAACTTTTTCATGGATAAATACAAAAGCTAGCAGTTTTATTTTTCTGAAATCACATTTCCTCACGTAAAATGTATCATCTGGCTAAACCCTACCAAATACTACTACTACCAATAATAATACTCAAAAGTTTTGTTTCCATACATAAAAAAAAATTGGGGGGAGGGGTTACCCATTCTGTGGCTTGAAATCAGGACCTGGGCACTGTCAGCTTTTTTGCTTAAGGCTAGTGTCGTATTACTTGAGGCACAGCTCACTTCTGGCTTTTTGGTAGGTGACTGGAGATGAGTCTCACTAACTTTCCTGCCCAGACTGGCATTGAACTGTGATCCTTGTATCTCCGACTCCTAAGATAGGATTATAGGTGTGAGCCACCAGCACCTGGCTAAACATGAAAACTTAGATGGACTGAAAGCTATTATCTATCCAAGAAAAATACAGATGATACTGTGGTTGTAAAACACCCTCCTCCCTTTTTTTTTTTTCTGTCAGGTGTGGGGCTTGAACTCTGGGCCTGGGCCCTGTCTCTCAGCTCTTCAGCTCAAGGCAAGGGCTCTACCACTTGAGCCACAGTACCACTTCCAGTTTTCAGGTGGATAATCGAAGGCCAGAGTCTCACAGACTTTCCTGCCCAGGCTGGCTTTGAACCACAATCCTCAGATCTCAGCTCCTGAGTAGCTAGGATTACAGGTGTGAGCCACTAGCACCTGGCTCCTCCTCTCACTTTTTTTTTTTTTTTTTTTTGGGGGGGGGGGGTCTGGTTGTGGGGCTTGAACTCTGGGCCTGGGCGCTGTCCCTCAGCTCTTCAGCTCAAGGCTAGCGCTCTACCACTTGAGCCACAGCGACACTTCTGGCTTTTTTTTTTGGGGGTCCAGTCGTGGGGCCTGAACTCTGGGCCTGGGCGCTGTACCTCAGCTCTTCAGCTCAAGGCTAGCGTTCTACCACTTGAGCCACAGAGCCACTTTGGCTTTTTTCTTTTTGCTTATGTGGTGCTGAGGAATCGAACCCAGGGCCTGATGCATGCAAGGCAAGCACTCTACCGCTGAGCCACCTTCCCAGCCCCCGGCTTTTTTCTTTTTGCTTATGTGATGCTGAGGAATCGAACCCAGGGCCTCAGGCATGCAAGGCAAGCACTCTACCACTGAGCCACCTTCCCAACCACTCCTCCTCTCACTTTTATAGAATGTTAGAAATCATTAAAAAACAAGTAAACAACTAAACACAGCAATTTCAAATTTCCCTTTTAGTACCTGGTTTAATGTTTTCTTGTTACTATTTTTCCCTGAGACGGTCTCATTGTGTTGCCTAGACAAGCATTAAACTCACAATTTTCCTGTCTCAGCTTCCTGAGTAGCTAGAATTACAGATGTGCACACTGCCACACCTAGCTTTCTTTATTTTTAAAACCATATAGCGGGCTGGGAAGGTGGCTCAGTGGTAGAGCACTTGCCTTGCATGCCTGAGGCCCTAGGTTTGATTCCTCAGCACCACATAAGCAAAAAGAAAAAAGCTGGAAGTGGCACTGTGGTTCAAGTGGTAGAGCGCTAGCCTTGAGCTGAAGAGCTGAGGGACAGTGCCCAGGCCCAGAGTTCAGGCCCCATGTCTGGACCCCCCCCAACAAAAAAACATAACTTTAATTGATAGCTATTATGCCATTAATATCAAGAAATTGTCTTATGAAGTACCATAAGAACAATACAGAAGACTCTAGCAATTTAACTCTTACACAAAAAACTAATTTCTTTTTTTTTTTATTTTATTTTTTTGTCAGTCATGGGACTTGAACTCTGGTCCTGAGCACTGTCCCTCAGCTCTTCAGCTCAAGGCTAGTGCTCTACCGCTTGAGCTACAGCACCACTTGCGGTTTTTCTGGTGGGTTATTGGAGATAGGAGTCTCACGGACTTTCCTGCCCGGGCTGGCTGGCTTTGAACTATGATCCTCAGATCTCAGCCTCCTGAGTAGTTAGGATTACAGGCATGAGCCACCAGCGCACAACAAAAAGCTAATTTTTGAAACCACTGCATCTTGAGTCTGTAAATTCAGTTATAAAGTTGTTTTTTTTGCACAGTTCCCCAAGATGAATTAGCAAATGACAAGATTTTAGTAGATTAAGGACTGACAGCCATGAGATTTTTTCTTTTTTTTTTTTTGGTTGGTCGCAGGGCTTGAACTCTGGGTTTGGGCGCTGTCCCTCAGCTCTTCAGCTCAAGGACGGTGCTCTACCACTTGAGCCACAGCTCCACTTCTTGTTTTCTGGTGGTTTATTGGTGGTAAGAGTGGTGATAAAAGTCTCATGAACTTTCCTGCCTGGGCTGGCTTTGAACCATGATCTTCAGATCTCAGCCTCCTGAGTAGCTAGGACTAAAGGTGTGAGCCACAGGCAACTGGCTGAGATTTTTTTTTTTTGGTGAGATTTTTTTTTTTAAAAACAAAATTTTCTAGATATTTGCATTATATTCCCAGTGAACTTTTACATAATCTCAACATAGAAATACCTCAGTATTAAATTATTATCATTTGTATTTTACCTATCGGGACTGAAGCTGGCTCCATAGACAGGCCCACTGTGACCATACAAAATCTTCAACTCACTTGCAGTTTTCTCATCCATGATTCTTTCTAAGACATCATCTGATTCTTTGTCTATGAGGCTAAGATCTAAAATGGTCCAGAAATAGTTTTTAAAGGATATTCATCAAAACAGGTTAATGCAATCATATCACAGTTTAGGAAACGAACAGGTAAATTCTTCCTATACCAACCACTGTACTAAAACCTCTAAGTGATGTCATCCCAATGTACAGGAGAAGAAACTGCAGATCAGAACAGTTAATCATTTGCTACCATACACACAGCTACTCAATATGGGAATCAAGATTAAAACTCAAGTTTGACCATTGAATCACATGTTTCACAAAAATGAAAATATTAAAACAATTTTAAATACAGCAAGATAATATAGCTAATAGGGAAAAAACCTTCTAAAATAAAATCCTGACTTTATTGTTCTTTTTTAGCTATTTTTATGACTACAATAAATTTTTTCTCCTATTTTAAGGTCTCCCACTAAAGTTTTTTTTTTATTTACAAGCAAACAATCATAAAATGTTAGAGTTTTAACTTTTAAGGAGCTTTTATAGCCTAATTCCTTCGATTCCATTTATGAGAAAAGACCAGAGAATTTAACCCAGTCTCCTGATTGCCACCCCAGGACTGTCTTCACTATGGGGAACGTTGAGAATCTTGAGTTAAAATGAAATTTTTTATCTGCAGAGATCACAACCTCCTTTCTGTATTCTGTGGATTCAAGATTGTTGCAGACTAACTTCAAGTTTACACCAACAGGTCATCTGAGTTACCTGATGCTTGTTTAACACTACGAAGCTTTTTGGGTGTCACAGACCACACTCTGACAGTTGAATCTGCAAAACCTCCAGCAATCAGACTAGAATCATCAGTGACATCCACTGCAGTGAGGCCCTGCCAGTAAAAAAAAGTTTTACACTAAACAATACTTTTGTGGGGGATTCAAATCACATCGTAGAATATTGTTCTCATAAAAGATCACTTGAGATTACATTCTCCTATAAAACCCAATGTGTGAAAGCACATACTTGAGTGTGTTGTCACTTACCTTTTTGTGCCCTCCATATTTGGAATGCATGATGGGAAGCAAATGTTAATCATGTTTATAATTTACTAAATATATCCTCAGTAACCTATTACAAGGAGTCTGTAAAGGTATATAGAATTCTTTTTTTCTAAGTTTTAGAAAGGATTTACTTTAGCATAATAGGATAAAGTAGGGAGAAATGGAAAAGAGAAACATTTCCTGCTCCCCATCCAGGAAACAGGAATTAAAAACTAAAAAATGGTGGTTCCTATCTATAGCCTTTCTACATTTTAAGCTGGAAGAATTTATATAGTCAAGGATATATATAATTCTTAATCAGAAAGTTCACATTAATACTTCACAAGAAGAATTGGCCTTACTCAAAGGCTGTGATCAGTGAAAACAGAGATGAAGTATAAGCCAGATTTGGGAATCTGCAAGTTTCTGAAGGCCTTCTAAACAGCCTCCATCTACTCTGTGCAGCATCAGTTCTCATCTTGTTCCTTAATTATATCAAGAGTTTACCAAGACTCCACTTGAATACATTTAAGATTGTAAATTGCCATTTTACATGACTCTCGGCAAAAATTATCCAATTACTTTACCAACCTGGTAAGCATTTAGGAATGTATAGAAACAAATAGAAGGTAAGCAGTCTGGCCCAAGTCGCACTCGTTTGGTGGTTTCTTTCATATTCATGATCTTATCCAATTTATCTGAATCTTTCAGCTCAGGAAGAGGAATTCTGTGAAGGAAAATCACTGGGAATTATTCTTTGAATATTATTAACAAGCTTATCTCCTCTGTATCCTAACTGACACCTCCTTAAAATTCTGGAAATCTCCCCCCCACCTGTTTTGAGGTGGAGCATTGGGATCTTGTTTTTTGCTTTTGGATCCAATACTATCTTTTTTGGGCTTCTTCTTTTTAGGTTTTCCTTCTTCATTTTCTCCTTCTTCATCTTCATCATCCAAAGGCACTTCAATTTCTGGTTCTTTTAACAAGCCAAAAAATACCTACAATCAAAAGAACCAACATTTTAAAAATAAATTTTGTTCATTAATATTCCCTTTGAATATATTGATAGGATAAATCACAATTACGATATTGTCATTTATACCCTGAAGCGGGGTTCTGAACTTGTCTAACAGTTATTTTTCCTGTTTGCCTTGCTAATAGAACCCTGGTTTTATTGGAGCAGCATTGTGCTTAGTTAGTTACTTCTGTTCTCAAGCTTCCTTGAAGCTAGCAATAGCCGTACAACATAATTCTGGTCAGCAGATAATACAAAGAAATATGCTAGGTATGTTTGAATTTTTTTAAGAAAAAAAAATGTCTTCCTGATAAAAAGCAAGAGACTCAAGCAGGCTTTTCATCCTTTCCATTATCCCATCTTGGACTGTAGTTGCAATGCTGGAGCTGCAACAGCCATCTATGACCACAAGGAAGAAAGTCATTCTAAAGATGATAGACCAAGCTGAGTGCCAGTGGCTCACACCCGTTGTCCTAGCTACTCAGGAGGCTGAGATCTGAGGATAGAGGTTCAGAGCCAGTCTGGACAGGAAAGTCCATTAGATTCTTATCTTCAGCTAACCACCAGAAAACTGGAATTGGTGTTCTGGCTCAAACTGGTAGAACACTAGCCTTGGGCTATAGAGCTATGGGACAGTGTTCAAGCCCCATGACCGACCAAAAATAAATAAATGAATAAAGGTGACAGACCAGAAACTAGAAGCCAGGAACACTGACAACATTGTAGAGCTATCATGCCAGCCCTGGAAAGACTCCCAAATTCATTTCATGTGAGGAAAATCAACTTTTTTGATATACTAAAGTCAGGGTTCTGTTAAATGCAATCATTCCCAAGTCCTCACACAGATTCACTATCCTTAGAACACGAAATTTTAAAAACAGTATAAAATTATTTCCAAGCTAGCTATAAGAAAAATTTAAATTATGTGGACCGAAATGCTACAATTTTTCATAATCTACATTATATAGTTCTTATTATTCCCATACCTTTGATTTGTTTGCCTCTCGTTTAGCCTCTCCTGCCAAACTTCCCACCATCGCATCTATCTGTTGCTTACTACGCGGCATCCCATCAAAGATGTCAATGTAGAGGTGCTCCTGAACTATGTTCCATATCTGATTGTTCTGTTTCTCCTGAAGATGCCTCTTCAAGAGTTGGTACGAGTCACGGGAAATACGCAGAACAAATTTACTTGTTCGAAAATCCAACATGGTTTCATTCCCTTTCATGTGTTCCTTTTTGGTAAGACTAGATAATACTCGTAGGTCATCCTGGTAATAACATTCCTGATCTCCATGGAACCTGTTTCAGTGATTTTAAAAAGTCATTTTTCAATGTAATCATTAAGGGATCCGCCTCTCCCCCAAATATTTATAAGCCACCCCAGAATATCTTAAATGTAGTAGTTTAAATCATTTTAAACTGTATCTACAGGTAAATCACTGATTATAAAGTAGTTTCTGAATTCATCCTTAAAGTGATCAATTTAATTCTCTAATTAAATAAACATTTTAAAAGAACAATTTGAAATAATTATCACATGAATGAAAGACATTTACTACTGGTAGACAATTTCTTTGGAATACCAATTTTGGTCAATATTTGAAAATGTCTGAACCTTTACTCTTACTGCATGCTTTCTCAAAATCCCACTTTTAAACTTTTATTATGGAAAATTTCAAATGTGTATGAAGCAGAAAATGTATTGTAATTCTATGAACCTATCATAGCTCTCTACAATAACACATGGATTCTCATTGGCCCCACCATTTTAATGATTTCCCAGGTTCACAATATCAGACATTTATTAAATGTCAATACTTTAACATTATAACTAATAAACAAATGTTAGTATCAAACAATGAATACTTGTATTTACTATTACCAAAAGCAATTTAATAAAGCCATCAGCCATGGTGGCAACTAGTAACTTTTAATACTTTTGTTTTTATAAATTGTAGCTTTCCTTAAAAAAAAAACTATTAAAGATATAGATTTGGCATTTACTAAGAACAGTAATCAATGCAAAATATTGAGAAAACAATGACTGACTAAAATTAGATAAAGCTCTAGCTCTGAAAGACACAAAGCCAATGGATTCCTATATTGTTACCCATTTGGATTCATCAATAAGCAGACTAAGGGTTTTGCCCTAGATTTAAAGTAAAGTAGAAATCTCAGGCAGTTAAGTATTTTTATCACTTCTTATTATTCTCATCATTTGGGCATGGGGTCCTCTAAGACTGTCAATAATAGGGAAACAGAATCCTCTACAATATTTCAGCTTCCTAACCAAGGAGATTGTTACACTATGAATTTGGAAGGGGAGGGTTTTTTTATGACAGTAGTATAAGAAAAATTATTAAGCTTCTAGAGAAGTTGTATGATCATTGGCCTTTTTAAAAAGTAAAAAACTCTGAGCCAAGAACATTTTGCTTCCTGTTTCTTCTCTTAGTTATCTTACTATAATGAATGAATATTACGGCATAAGGGTTCTATTGTTCTTCTCTCACTAGTATCTGCGTTATCTGACAAGTCCTAGCTTCAAGCTCTATTGCTTGAACTAAAGAACTGCCATTCAAACATTAAGCACTATTTCCTTCTCAAATATGGCTTGATACTCTTAGTTTTCTTACTATTTCTTTAGCTTTTCTGTCTTACAGTCTTACACTTCACACTATCTTTATATCTTACACTTGGCCATTGAAATGTTGGAGCTCTCTCAAAGCATGAGTTTAGCTCCCCTATTTCATAAGACAATGTAATTCATATCTTTATCCATCAATATTGCATATAACTACTCCAGGAACCAGTGGCTTATGCCTATAATCCTAGCAACTCAGAAGGTGAAGATCAGGAGAATCACAGTTTCAGGAAAGCCTAGGAAAAAGTTTGAGAAAACTTAACAGAAAGAGCTGGTGTGGTGATATGTTCCTGTTACCCCAGCTATGGTGGGAAGAGTAAAATAGGGCTGTGGGTCCAGGCTGGGCTGAATTTATCTCAAAATAAACCAGTTGCCAAAGTGGCTCAGGCAAGCTAGATGTCAGTGGCTCATGCCTGTAATCCTAGCTATGGAAGCCGAGTTTCAGAGGATACTCAAGGCCACCCCAGACAGAAAAAGTCCAGTTGACTCCATCTCCAAAATAAACAGTAAAGGTAGAGAGATGGCTCAAGCAACACGGCACCTACTTGTTAAGGCCAAGAACTGAGTCCAAACTCCAGTACTAGGGAAAAAAAAAAAAAGGAAGGGGCTGGGAACGTGGCTTAGTGGTAGAGTGCTTGCTTAGCATGCATGAAGCCCTGGGTTCGATTCCTTAGTACCAGATAAAAACAGGGGAGGGGGGGCTGGGAAGGTGGCTCAGTGGTAGAGCGCTTGCCATGCATACCTGAGGCCCTGGGTTCAATTCCTCAGCACCACATACAAAAAAAGCCAGAAGTGGTGCTGTGGCTCAAGTGGTAGAGTGCTAGCCTTGAGCTGAAGAGCTGAGGGACAGCGCCCAGGCCCAGAGTTCACGCCCCACAACCGGACCAAAAAAAAAAAAAGAAAAGAAAAACGGGGGGAGGCGGGAAGGGGGGAGGTGGAAGTGGCACCGTGGCTTAAGTGGTAGAGCATTAGCCTTGAGCACAGAGAAGCTCAGGGATAGCACACAGGCCCCGAGTTCAAGTCCCAGGACTGACAAAAAAAAACTTTATGACTCAAGTTCCTACTTTTCCTCTAAACCCTCACAGCAGGAACAAACAGTTGATAGGGACATATGAGTGACTATTGACTAATTTTAGAGGTTACTGAATGGCTGTCTACAGGAATGGTAGCTCGACAGGTCAGAGGCATATTGAAACTGGAACTAAAAATTATTCCTCCACCACACAGAGTAAGCCCTGTTCTAGGATTTTCTGTCGGTGAAGGGCATCCCTATCTGACTGGGGGACCAGAAACAGGATTATCATTGATAGCTCTCGTATTTATTAAGTACCAAATTAATCTGCCTTTTTATTCGCCTCCACCAATACAACCCAGTTCAATATTTGTCAGCGTGAATACTACTGGAATTTTGGGCAGGACAATTCTTTGCCAAGGAGAACTACTTGCACATCCTAAAATATTTAGTATTTCTGCTCCTCTAACCAGTCAGTATGAAAACCAAAAGAAGCCTCCATGTTTGCTAATGGAAGAAGGAATACCATTCCTGTTGAGAACCACTCAATCTCCAAATTGATCAAGTCATTCTGTCTTTCATTCTTTATTTGCCGCTTGCATAAAGGTTCTTTTTGTTTGTTTGTTTGTTTTTGGGTCTGGTTGTGGGGGCTGAACTCTGGGCCTGGGCACTGTCCCTCAGCTCTTCAGCTCAAGGCTAGCGCTCTACCACTTGAGCCACAGCGCCACTCTGGCTTTTTTTTTGCTTATGTGGTGCTGAGGAATCGAACCCAGGGCCTCAGGCATGCAAGGCAAGCGCTCTACCACTGAGCCATCTTCCCAGCCCCCATAAAGGTTCTTTTAAAATACCTATTTAGGGGCTGGGAAGTTGGCTCAGTGGTAGAGTGCTTGCCTTGCATGCATGAGGTCCTGGGTTCAATTTCTCTGCACCACATAAGCAGGAAAAGCTGGAAGTGGCACTGTGGCTCAAGTGGTAGAGCACTAGCCTTAAGCTAAAGAGCTGAGGGACAGTGCCCAAGCCCAGAGTTCAAGCCCCACAACCAACCAAAAAAACAAAAAACTACTGATAATATAGTTCTCCAATGACTTCTGTGACCAAGATGCTTCACTGTCCTCCAAATCTATCTCTCCTTTCTTCCTCCAAAGCAGAACCCCTGAAGATTAGCCGGGCACACAAACACCTGAGTTAGACCACATTCCTTTGTAGCTAGGTATAGTGACTTACAAAAAAATCTGTAAAGAGTAGTGTATCCATCTTCCTAGAAGAATGTGTGCCTTCCCCGCCGTCTAAAACACTGGTGTAAATGCTTAGAGCTAGACAACCATTTTGCACTATAAAATAGAAATGGTCTAACAAGAGTGGCACAGTAGGGCTGGTAATGTGGCTTAGCAGTAGAGTGCTTGCCTAGCATGCATTAAGCCCTGGGTTCGATTCCCCATTACCACATACACAGAAAAAGCTGGAATTGGTGCAGTGGTTCAAGTAGTAGAGTGCTAGCCTTGAACAAAAGAAGCTCAAGGACAGTGCCCAGGCCCTGAGTTCAAGCACGGAGACTGGCAAGAAAAAAAAAAGTTCAAAGCCAGCCTGGGCAGAAAAATCTATAAGATTCTTATCTCCAGGGCTGGGAAGGTGGCTCAGTGGTAGAGTGCTTGCCTTGCATGCATGAGGCCCTGGGTTCAATTCCTCAGCACCACATAAGCAAAAAGTAAAAAAGCCGGAAGTGGTGCTCTGGCTCAAGTGGTAGAGCGCTAGCCTTGAGCTGAAGCGCTAAGGGACAGCGCCCAGGCCCAGAGTTCAGACCCCACGACCAGACCCCCCCCCCCCAAAAAAAAAAGGATTCTTATCTCCAGTTAACCACTAGAAAACCAGAAGTAGACCAGAAGTGGAGCTGTGGCATATGGCAGTAGAGCACTAGCCTTGAGCAAAGAAGAGCACAGGGAGGGTGCCTAGGCCCCAAGTTCAAGCCACATGACTGAAAGAAGGAAAAAAAAAAAAAAAGAAGAGTGGCAGAGCAACAAGACTGAAAGAGCCTGTGACTTTGCTAATCAAGGACTCACCCTATAGTCTTATACTTTCCACCTTTGTAAGAAGTAAACTTCTATTATATTTAAGCAGTAAGCTTAAATATAATAAGCTTCTAGAATAATAAACTTTTATTATATTTAAACCTACTACTTTAATAGAGATTCTCAGTCAAGTCTAATCCTACTCAATACAATTCCCTATTGATCTTAGAACAAAAACCTTCAACTTGGCCTAAGAACTTGCCTGTTATTTCAGTGTCTAACCAATTGTTACATCACAACACACGCTATTCTCAGCTCCAGCTACTGTGGCCTCCTTTTAGTCTCTGTAACTATTAAGAACTTTCCTCCCAGTTTTCAAACATGCTTTTCCCTCTTCATCTGGTTAAGTCTCAATCTTCAGGTTTTACTTCAAGTATGGTTCATCTGGAAGCCTTCCTTGTCAGTTCCACTAGATACACACCCCCTGCCCCCAATTAACTTCATATCATCCCAGGTACCTCTCCTCCGTAAAGTACTTCCTGAGTTGCAGCCTTAAAGTTGTATGGTTGTAGATATATAGGGGTAAACAAAATATATGTAAAATTTCACATACTTCTCAAAGAATGATTTTGCTTCATTTTCATGTTGATTATAGACTAGCTCCAAGTACATGTGTACAAACAGAGGATAAAAGAGTTGGGATAATTCTGCCCGATGGCAGTCCAGAGAACATTCAATGAAGTGTTTCAGTCCACTATAGTACTCTTCATACATTGTGGGGTCTCCTTGTTGGTTGTAGGCCGACAAGACAGCACTGACATCTGGCTGGTCTTCCACAGCTACACTTCCAACTGTTTAAAAAAATGAATGACAACTTTTAAGAAAATGATTGATATCTACATGTGACTGAGACTCAGAAGTGAACTATTTGTCAGTTTGTCCCTTTCCTCAGCAGAATCATTTACTCTTTTAATGGGCTTTGTACTTGCTTGACAAAGGCCAAAATACCTTTAAGTACTCACATCTCAAGGTAAAACTTCAAATCAGTATAACAAAAAGTCTGCTACTTTTTCCTCAATCTACCTTAAAGACAAACTGTGTAAAGGTACATGAAGCACAGGGATGTGGCTAAGTGGTAGACTGCTTGCCAAGCTTGCACAAGGTCCCGGGCTCTGGTGGCTCATGCCTGTAGTCTTAGCTATTCAGAAGGCTGAGATCTGAGGATCACGGTTCAAAGCCAGCCCAGACAGAAAAATCTGAGACTTTTATCTCCAATTAACCACCAGAAAACCAGAAGTGACACTGTGGCTCAAGTGGTAGCGTACTGGCCTTGAGCTGAAGAGCTTACATACAGCGCCCAGGCCCAGAGTTCAAGCCCCATGAATGACAAAAAAAAAAAATTTAAGTGCAAACTAACAATTATATTGATCTCTCTGAAGGTTTCGTCCAAGTGACACCCACTACCACCAAGCCATGCAGCCATGCTCTAGCAGGAATGAGAAATGGTTTTCTCTGCCAATGACCATTTGGTTATTTACAACATCATTTACCAGCCATACAAAATTATCAATACAGGCAAGTGAGTGCCAGGCAGTTGATGAGAAGTATACCTGTCTGTCCTGTCAAATACTAAGTTATTTCAAGGGTCTCATACAGCCTCACAAGGGTAGAGAATGAAAAGGTTTCCAACCCTTACTCTGGATTAACAATTCTAGCTTCCTTAGCACTCCTGTTTAATATTCTATACTGTTACCTACACAGGTGCATATCTACCACCTGATATAAAATATCAGCATTTGAGGGCTGGGAAGGTGGCTCAGTGGTAGAGCGCTTGCCTGGCATGCATGAGGCCCTGGGTTCGATTCCTCAGCACCACATAAGCAAAAAGAAAAAAGCCGGAAGTGGTGCTGTGGCTCAGGTGGTAGAGCGCTAGCCTTGAGCTGAAGAGCTGAGGGACAGCACCCAGGCCCAGAGTTCAGGCCCCACGACCGGGCTCAAAAAAAAAAAAAAAAAAAAAAAAATTACAAAAAAATATCAGCATTTGAGAACACCTGGAAATTAGCTCTAGGGATTTCTTGAACTAATTGGGATAACTTTAAGATAACTGAGTATCCACACACTTTTAGATGGGAACTCAGCTGCGAAGTACTGTCATGTAATAGTTTTTGTTTTGTTTTTGTTTTGTTTTGTTTGTTTTTGGCTAGTCATAGAGCTTGAACTCAGGGCCTGGGCACTGTCCCTGATCTTCTTTTGCTCAAAGCTAGCACTCTACCACTTGAGTCATAGTGCCACTTCTGGCTTTTTCTGTTTATGTGGTACTGAGGAATTGAACGTAGGGCTCCATGCATGCCAGGCAAGCACTCTACCACTAAGCCATATTCCCAGCCCAATTACCGCTAGGCTAGATGGCTAGACAGGCAGAAAACTGATTTTGCATCATTGTGTCTTCTCTATATTCTATGATTGGAAGACCTAAAAATAAAACCGGAATACTAGGAAAAAAATACCAGGGGCTGGGAAGGTGGCTCAATGGTAGAGTGCTTGCCTTGTATGCATGAGGCCCTGGGTTCGATTCCTCAGTACCACACATAAGCAGAAACAATCGGAAGTGGCGCTTTGGCTCAACTGGTAGAAAGCTAGCCTTGAGCTGAAGAACTAAGGGACAGCATTCACGCCAAGAGTTCAGGCCCACAAAAAAAAAACAAAAAAACAGAATTTGAAAGACCATGCCTTTTTATATCTCTAAGAGATAACTATAATTCAATTGTATATGCTTAACAACAACAATTTCTATAACTATCATTTCACAGCAAAAAACACATGAGTACTTATTTATGATATACTAATACCAAACAATATATCTCTCAAATTAAGAGTTTAGTCCAGGCACAATGGCTCATACCTGCAATCTCAACTACTCAAGAGGGAGCGATTAGGAGGATCACAAAACTGGGCAAAAAGTTACTATCTCAGCCGGGCACCGGTGGCTCATGCCTGTAATCCTAGCTACTGAGGAGGCTGAGATCTGAGGATCACGGTTCAAAGCCAGCCCAGGCAGGAAAGTCCGTGAAACTCTTATCTCCAATAAACCACCAGAAAACCAGAAGTGGCATTGTGGCTCAAGCAGTAGAACACTAGTCTTAAGCTGAAGAGCACAGCGCCCAAGCCCAGAGTTCAAGCCTCACGACTGACAAAGAAAAAAGAAAAAAGTTACTATTTCAACAAGCCAGCTATAGTACACTATAATCCCAGCTAATCAAGAGGCATAGGTAAACTGTCCAAAAAGAAAAATACTCCTTATCTATACATCACCTTTATAATAACAACTTAATAATGATAATAATAATAATGAGGCATAGGTAGGTCTAGTCATAGACCTGATTCAAAAAGCAAAGTCAGCTGGGTGCTCATACCTGTAATCATAGCTACTAAGGAGCCTGAGATTTGAGGATAGAAGTTCAAAGGCAGACCAAGCAGGAAAGTGAGACTCCTAATCTCCAATTAACCACTAGCAAACTGGAAGTGGAGCTATGGTTCAGTGGTAGACCACACAGGGACAGTGCCTATACCATGAGTTCAAGCCTTACAACCGAAGGGGGAAAAAGTCAAATACAGTTGGAAGTAGGGCTCAAGTTGTAGAGCCAAGCACACTAAGTTGAAACTCCACTAAATAAATAAATGAATTTGGCCTTTGGAAATTTTGGTAAGCTATACTATGGTTCTGCTCCATACTGCAGAAATGTTTGATTTTGTTTATCATTCTGATGGCCTCTTTTCTACCTTTTTGTATTCTCAGGTATAATCTAAATCTGAATCCAATTTTTGAAGAAAATGAAAACCAACACACATCTTATAATTAATCCACAAAGTACAGTATTCAGAAAAAATTCTTCTCAATCATATATTTTAAGGATGGAGCTATAGCTTAGTAGTAGAGTGCCTGTCTTCTAAGCATAAGACCCCGATTTTGCAGGGTGGTGGCTCACAAACTTGTAATCCTACCTACTCAGGAGGCTGAGATCTGAGGATCATGGTTCAAAGCCAGCATGGGCAGGAAAAGCCGTGAGACTCTTTTCTTCAATAAACCACTCAGAAAACTGGAAGTGGCACTGTGGCTCAAGTGGTAGAGTGCTAGCCTTGAGCTGAAGAACTGAGAGATAGTGCTCAGGCCGAGTTCAAGCCCCATGACTGACAAAAAAAAAAAAAAAAAAAGACCCTGAGTTTAAACTGGAGAACAAGAGGAAGAGGAAGGAGGAGGAAGAGGAAGAATGGCAGACTCAAGGATTTTTTTTGCATATTTCTGGTTATAAATTACAGTGCTATGTGTTCAAACTTCATCTCTGGCAATCCTGCAAAGAGTAAGTCTCATAAATACAAATTCATTGGCTAAAGCCACTTAACTAGATAATTTAATTCAACACATTTTCTGATCTCTGTATGTGAGTTTTCCTGTGTTGACTGGACAAGAACTGCTGGGAGAAAGGGGTCAGGATCAATGATAGTACAGAGACATAAACTTTTCAATACAGGGCATTTTTTCATAGACATTTGAGCCTTATTACCTCATTTAATATGAAAAACTCAATCTTAGGGCTAGAGGCGCCACACAAGTAAAATCAGCAGAGACAAAAAAAAAAGTGTAGCAGTGTGCTGGTAGCTCATGCCTGTTATCCTAGCTAGTCAGGAGGCTGAGATCTGAGGATGGCAATTCAAAGCCAGCCCAGGCAGAAAAGTCCCCGTGAAACTCTTTTTATCTCCAATTAACCACCAGAAAACCAGAAGTGGCACTGTGGCTCAAGTGGTAAAGCTCTAGCCTTGAACTGAAGAGCACAGGGACAGCACCCAGACCTGGAGTTCAAGCCCCACAACCAAAAAAAAAAAAAGTGTAGCTGGGTGCTGGCGGCTCACACTTGTAATCCTAGATATTGGGATCTTCAGTTCATAGCCAGCCAGGGCAACAGACTGTGAAACTTTTATCTCCAATTAACCACCAGAAAACCGGAAGTGGAACTGTGGCACAACATGGTAGAACTCTAGGATTGAACAAAAGAACTCAGGGACAACACCCAGGCCCTGAGTTCAGGCCCCACAACCCAAAAATAAAAAGTGTAACCCACATCTATTCCCATATTTACAGTCCTCCAATTATTATTAATTTTTTTGTCAGTGGTGGGGCTTGAACTCTGGACCTGGGCGCTGTCCCTTAGCGCTTCAGCTCAAGGCTAGCACTCTACCACTTGAGCCACAGTGCCACTTCCGACTTTCTGGTGGCTTATTAGAGATAAGAGTCTTATGGACTTTCCTGCCCGGACTGGCCTTGAACCGTGATCCTCAGATCTCTGCCTCCTGAGTAGCTAGAATTAGAGGCGTGAGCCACAGGTGCCCAGCTGAGTCCTCCAATTTTGCCTCCTCACTCGTATTGTAGATGCTGAGAATGTGGCTTGGTGGTAGAGTGCTTGCCTAGCATGCATGAACCTCTCGGTTCAATTCCTCGGCACTACATAAACAGAAAAGTCCAGAAGTGGTGCTATGGCTCAAGGGGTAGAACGCCAAAAGAACCTCAGTGACAGTGCCCAGGCCCCTGAGTTCAAGCCCAAGACTGGGGAAAAAAAAAGAAAGAGAAAGAAAGAAAAGAATCCCATATTGTAAATGCCCACAGCATCTACCTCTTGAGAGTCAAAGTCTGAACTGGTGCCCAGGAATGCGCATCCTCAGAAAACACATGGTGAAACTTTGCTCCTATTTCGAGAAATGCTCGCTACACGGTGCGCCTGGCTGTGGTCTCAAGCAAGTTCTTTTCCAACAAATCTGTCTGCCCCGCTCTATATTACAGAGGTAATATACCTCCCTGTGGAAAGTCAAACCCGAGGTACACACACAGTACGAACTGCACAAAAACATGTGCATCTGCCCCGGGCTGAAAAGCTCAAGTAAGAGGGGAAGAAAGAGGGTGCTGAAGCCCGAGGTGCCCGTCTCCGGGCGCCCCTTTTCCCTACACATTGCCCACGCCCGGCAGCCCGGCTCAGCCTCTCCCGGGAACTGACAGCTCAGAAGAGGGTTTGACTGCGCAGCCGGCGCAGCCGAGAAAGGGGCGGGCGTGCGCACGGCCCCAGAGGCGGGCCCAGGAAATTCAAAACAAGCCCGCAGAGGTGCAGGCCCGCCAGCCCCTGCTTCCCAGCCGGCTCCCCTCCGCGCCCGCCCGGGCTCACCTTTCCCCGACGCGGCGGGACCTGAGGCTGAGCCCGAGACGACCGTGACTCCCGAAGCGCCGGTGCCCGGAGGATCGGGGCCCGCGGAGCCGGGGGCCGAGGCCGTGACCCGGCTGAGGAGCGAGCTTGCCGCCTCGGCGCCGGCCCCGTCCACCTCTCCCGGGGCTCCGGAGCCCGCCGCTGCCTCCTCCAGCAGCCGGGCCTCACGCCGCAGCGCCTCCTCGGCCTCCCGGAGGTTGCTCTGCCGGAGGAACTGCAGCACCGCCAGCAGCGTCTGCCGGTCGTGAGGAGAGCCCGACTCCGCCGCGGCGCCGGGCACCGGGGCCGCCCCCGCTGGAGTAGCGGCGGACACGGCCACCACGGGCTTGGGGGTCCCGCCATCCCCGCCGGCCGCCGCTGCCGCCGCCGCTACATGCCCGCCGCCGCCGTTGGGGCCGTTGTTGGGAGCGCCGCTGCCGCCCTCGCCCGCGCCATCGCCCGCCTGAGGAGGCAGCAGCGTCGGCGGACCCTCGGGTTCTAGCTTGACCGCCACCTCCGTCTGCTCCTCCGCCAGCGCCGCCATCTTGCGGCTGAGCCACCTCGTGCCGTCAAGCGTGACTGCGTTTTTGCCACCCGGAGGGCGGGGAGAAGCGTTTCACGACAGTGAGGGCGGGGAGAAGCGTTTCACGACAGTGCGGGCAGATCACTTACGGCAGCAGGCGGAGCAAAGAGGAAAAAGAGGTGCGGCATGGTGGCTTTTTGGAATCAGTGGAAGGCAGGAAGTGACAACTGGCGAGTGTCCTATACATTATTTGCAGGCCAGCTCTATTCAGGTACTAATATAGACATTTATAGATGAAATTCAACCACTTTTAAGGTTGTATTTTTGTCGGTCGTGGGGCTTGAACTCTGTCTGGGCACTATCCCTGAGCTCCTTTTGCTCAAGGCTAGAGCTCCACTTCCGGCTTTTGGAGGAGTGATTAATTGGATCACAGGTGTGAGCCTCCAGATCGCGGCTAAAGTTGTTTCGTTTTGCCAGTCCTGGAACTTGAACTCAGGGCACTGTCCTTGAGTTTCTTTTGCTCAAGGCTAGCACTTCACCACTTGAGCCACAGTGCCACTTCCAGCTTTTTCTGCTTATGTGGTACTGAGGAATCGAGACTTCATGTGTGCTACCCAAGCACTCTACCACTAAGCCACATTCCCAGCTCCCGCCTTGAATTTTAATCTCAGGGATTTGGGGCTCTGGAACCCCAAAAGAAGGTTATAACATACCTTGCAAAAACAAAAACACTCAAGAGTAATAAGTGTCAAGACTCTAATCTAGGTTTTTTTTAACTCAAAAAGCAAACACCATTTGCCAGAGACAGGCTTCTGAAATACTGGGAAAGTTTCAATTGTGAGCTGCTACTGGTTACTTTTTATTTTATTCCTGTAACTATGTAGTTTTGTGAACTTTATGCATATTAAATTTCATTTAAACCGCTTTTAAATATCAGTTTTGTGGCTGTGAAATGTGCATGAATAAATGGTTGCAAACTACATTTTAATCATTTTTATTTTCGTTTTAATTGTGTATTTTTAAATCATACACGTTTCATTGGTTATAAGATCCTATCTCCCCCACCTGCTTGCCTTGCCCTAGAGCTTGAACTCGGGACCTTGTCTCTGTCCCTGAGCTCTTTTGCTCAAGACTAGCACTCTACATTTGTAGAGCCACAGCGCCACTTCCAAATTTTATCTTTTCCTAAACTAAACCTGACCTTAACCCTAATTCCAAACCTGAATACTCATGGTACTAAAATACTTCAAACTACTTCCATTTCACTTGTAACTCTTCAAAGCAATTTTAGATTTGCCCTAAACCTCTTTTCCTGAACTGTAAGCCCTAACACTCAGCAGAAACTTGACCCTAACCCCAAATATACCTCAAATAGTAAAGCAGACACTAAAATTATATTTATGCTAAGTTTTACTTCACTTTTAACTCTTCAATTTTAATTTTACCCTAAAACTTATCTTTTACCAAACTCTAACCCACAACAGAAACCTAACCTTAACTCTAAATATACCTCAAAAGGAATAGTAAAGCCGCTGGGAATGTGGCTCAGTGGTAGAGTGCTTGCTTAGCATGCATGAAGCCCTGGATTCGATCCTCAGTACCACATACACAGAAAAAGCCAGAAGTGGCGTTGTCACTCAAGTGATAGAGCACTAGTCTTGAACACAGAAAAAAAGAGGGAAAAAAACGGAGAGGAATCCCACCTATCCTGACTTTAAGCCCTTTATTGGAGTCACAGCACCATTTATGTTAGGTTTTTAAAAAGAGGTAGCCAAGTAAGAACAGCACCACGCACGTAGTGTTCAGGTAAGGGGTAGGTTGCCACCAGGCCATGTTGCCCTCCATGGGGAAAGGCCTGCGAAAGACCTGGGAAAAAGCTGGGAAAGAGACAGCTGGGAGAGAGCTGGTAAAGAGTCCCTGGGACTCTTATCTCCAATAAAACTACTAAAAAAAAAAAAAAAAAAAAAAGCTGCAAAGTGGCATTGTGGCTCAAATGGTAGAGCGCTAGCCTTGAGCCAAAGAAGCTCAGGGACAGTGCCCAGGCCCAGAGTTCAAGCTGTAGGACTGGCAAATGATAATGATGATGGTAATAACAATAATAATAATTGTTTTTTTTTTTTTTGGTTTGGTCATGGGGCCTGAACTCGGCCTGGGTGCTGTCCCTCAGCTCTTCAGCTCAAGGCTAGCACTCTATCACTTGAGCCACAGTGCCACTTCTGTTTTTTTCTGCTTATGTGGTGCTGAGGAGTCAAACCCAGGGCCTCATGCGTACAAAGCAAGCTCTCTAACCATTGCTACCTTCTCAGCCCTCTTTTGAAGAATTTAAGGGCAATAAAATTAGGAAGAATGTAATTTTGGTGTCTGCTTTACCATTCATTTTTGGAATACTTAGGATTAGGGAAAAAATAAGGTTTAAAGTAAAATTAAAATTGCTTTGAAGGGGCTGGGAAGGTGGCTCAGTGGTAGAGCGCTTGCCTTGCATGCATCAGGCCCTGGGTTCGATTCCTCAGCACCACATAAGCAAAAAGAAAAAAGCCAGAAGTGGTGCTATGGCTTAAGTGGTAGAGTGCTAGCCTTGAGCTGAAGAGCTGAGGGAAAGCGCCCAGGCCCAGAGTTCAGGCTCCACGACTGGACCCAAAAAAAAAAAAAAAAAAAGACTTAAAAGTGAAATCAAAGTTACAATGTCCAGCCGGGCGCTGGTGGCTCACGCCTGTAATCCTAGCTACTCAGGAGGCTGAGATCTGAGGATCGGGGTTCAAAGCCAGCCCGGGCAGGAGAGACGGTGAGACTCCGATCTCCAATAAACCACCAGAAAACCGGAAGTGGCGCTGTAGCTCAAGTGGTAGAGCCCTCGCCTTGAGCTGAAGAGCTGAGGGACAGCGCCCAGGCCCAGAGTTCAAGCCCCACGACAAAAAAAAAAAAAAAGTTACAATGTCCAAAAGTTTAGTGTCTACTTTATCATTTGTTTTGGGGTTTAATTAGGGTGTTCGTGTTTGGGAAAAGATTAAAAAAAAATAAGATTTTTTAAAAAGATAAAAAAGCATAAAAATAAAATAAACCTACCCCTTACCTGAAAAGAAAAAAAAAAAAAAAAAAGAGTCCCATGGACTTTGCTGTCCAGGCTGGCTTCAAACCATGATCCTCAGATCTCAGGCTCCTGAGTAGCTAGGATTAGAGGTGTGAACCACTAGCATCTGGCTCAAAACAATTTTAATTTTACCCTAAATCTTAACATTTTCCTGAACCCTAACCCTAACCCTCAGCAGAAAACTGACCCTAACCTTAAATATACCCCAAAACAAATAGTAAAGCTAACACCAGGGCTGGGAATTAGCTTAGTGGTAGAATGCTTGCATGAAGCCCTGGGTTTGATTCCTCAGTACTGCATAAACAGAAAAAGCCAGAAGTGGCACTGTGGCTCAAGTAGTAAAATGCTAGCCTTGAGCTAAAGAAGCTGAGGGACAGTGCCCAGGCCCTGAGTTCAAGCCCAGGACTAGTAAAAAAAAAAAAAAAAGCTGACACCAAAATTAAATTTATCCTAACTTTTCTTGCACTTTAACTCCTCAAAACAATGTTAATTTTACCCTAAACCTTACTTTTTCCTGAATTCAAACCTTAATCCTATACAGAAACCTGGCCCTATCTCTAACCCTAATTATATCCACATGCTAATGTTTGTGCAAATACTCCAACTTAAATTCACTCAGTTTTACTCAACTTTTAATTCCTCGATGCAGTTTTATTTTTTTTCCATAAACCTTATCTTGTTCCAAATCCTAACAATCAATAATCCTATGCCATATTCTTTATTTATTTTTTTGGGGGGGGGGTCCGGTCATGGGGCCTGAACTCTGGGCTGGGTGCTGTCCCTCAGCTCTTCAGCTCAAGGCTAGTGCTCTACCACTTGAGCCACAGTGCCACTTCTGGCTTTTTTCTTTTTGCTTATGTGGTGCTGAGGAATCGAACCCAGGGCCTCATGCATGCAAGGCAAGCGCTCTACCATTGAACCACCTTCCCAGCCCCTTTCCCCACTTTTAAATCTTCAAAACAGTTTTAATTTTGCCCTATACCTTGTCTTTTTGTAAACCTTATCCCTAACCTAAGAAGCAGAAACCAGCCCTCACTTTAACCCTAATTATACTGGAATAAAACTGATAGTATAAATACCCCATGTACATTCTTCCTAACTCTTACTCCACTACTAATTCTTCGGTTTCTTCGCCCCCACCCCCACCCAACAAAGCCTAGCCCTAAGCAGAATCCTAAGCCTAACCCCAGTTATACTAAAAATTAATGTTAAAGCTGATACTTAAACTTACATTCATCTAACTTTTACTCACTTGGTAATTTGTAAACTTAGTTTTACTCTAAACCTTATTATTTCTCCAAACCCTAACCAGAAAGAAACCTGTATCATAATACTACTGATAGTGCAAATTGTCCAATTTACATACCTCCTATCTTTTACTTTTAGATCTTCAAAAAGGTTGGTTTTGTTGGGTTTTTTTTGTCGGTCAGGAGGCTTGAACTCTGGGCCTGGACGCTAGCTATCCCTCAGCTCTTCAGCACAAGGCTATTGCTCTACCACTTGAGCCACAGCGCCACTTCCAGTTCTCTGAGTGGTTTATGGGAGCTAAGATTCTCACAGCCTTTCCTGCTTGGGATGGCTTTGAACTGTGTTGCTCAGATCTCAGCCTCCTGAGTAGCTAGGATTACAGGCATGAGCCACCAGGGCCCGGGTTGGTGTGTGTGTGTGTGTGTGTGTGTGTGTGTGTGTGTGTGTGTGTGTGTGTGTGTGTGTGTGTGTGTGTGTGTGTGTGTGTGTGTGTGTGTGTGTGTGTGTGTGTGTGTGTGTGTGTGTGTGTGTGTGTGTGGTTTTTGTTGTTATTGCTGTTTTGCCAGTCCTGGGGCTTGAACTCAAGGACTGAGTGTTCACTGAGCTGCTCAGTCCCTGAGCTGCTTTTTGCTCAAGGCTAGCACTCTACAACTTGAGCCACAGTGCCACTTCTGGCTTTTCAAAAAGTTTTCATTTTAATTTTACCCTAAACCTCTTTTTCTAAACCCTAAGCAAAATCCTAAACCAAACCCTACCCTAATTTTCCCAAAAATAGTGAAGCAGATACTCCAATTTACATTCATCCTTTTACTCACCTACTATTTTGGAACATCAGTTTCAGTTTTACCTTAAACCTTATGTTTTTCCAGCCCGAACCTAAACAGACACCTGAGTTTAACCCTTACTCTAAATATATCCGAATGTTAATTGTAGTGCATTTATTTATCCTTTTTTAAATTTTCCTCTAAACCTTATCTTTTTCCAAATCCTTACATTAAGCAGTGTCTTAAATTTAACCCTAACCCTAATTATACCTGAAAAC